CTAGCCACTCAGGCCTTGTGCTGAAGTGATAATAAAATGGCAGCAGGGAAGCCAGATTGTTGGAGACACTAAAACTGGTTGCAGGAAAAAAGCCAGCATGATTTCACTGTTATCTGAAGCCTGGATCTTTTGTGTTCCCAGCATGCACAGGGAATTGTAAGACAGTGTGTCACAGCTCAGACTCGGACAGTTTAGCTTTTAGAATGCGATACTTTCCTGATTTTAGGAATAAACTTGATGAACCTGTAGATGTTCTGTTTCCTTCAGTAACTATCATCAGGTGTCCTTGATGTTCGTTGTAGCAGATGTTCATTACAGATGCTAACTTCCAGCTTCACAATCGTTGTAAACACAACAGATACACCTGTCTGATACCCCTGTCTGATACCTCAGTTCCGACAGTGGATGGCAGCTAGCATGAAACCAAATGGGTGCTCTAACATAACTGTTTTATAAAGTTGAACAAGTTTTTAAGAATTTCTCCTGTTAGATTCTCTTCCTTGAGGTGCTAATCGTATGGATAGCAACCCTGGAGGAGAACAATGACCAGCACCACCACTTACATCTGTCAATTGTGGGGTATTCTACCAGTCTTCTTGAGTATTATTCTGCCAGTCTTCTTGAGTATTATTCTGCCAGTCCGTTACAGCAGTCTTTAGGCCAGCCCATTTGCTCCCCCCCCCCCTCTCCCTTTCCTGGGGAGGGGGGATATCTGTTTCTGTGTTTGATACTGTCACTCTGTTTATCACTTTGTATATTTTCTTCACCCACTGTGCAATCTACAACACAAACCATAGACACTGTCTTTGCTCTGTCACACTCCAGTGTGCAACATACAACACAAACAATAGACACTGTCTTTGCTCTGTCATACTCCAGTGTGGAATATACAACACAAACCATAGACACTGTCTTTGCTCTGTCACACTCCAGTGTGCAACATACAACACAAACAATAGACACTGTCTTTGCTCTGTCATACTCCAGTGTGGAATATACAACACAAACCATAGACACTGTCTTTGCTCTGTCATACTCCAGTGTGCAACATACAACACAAACCATAGACACTGTCTTTGCTCTGTCATACTCCAGTGTGCAACATACAGCACAAGTCATAGACACTGTCTTTGCTCTTAGTTAGTTAGTTAGTTGGGTTATCATCATTGCACTCTGGACATGTCCATAGGTGCTCAGATCCTCCCCTCAGTATGAATCCCAACGTCCGATGGCTAATAGTACCAGTTCTATGTTGATTAACAAGTCTTCTGACGTGTCCGGTGTGCGTCTCGTTTTTTGCTGTGCCGATCTTAATTCCCAAGTCTGCCATTCTGGCGAGTGATGTGGATTCACTGCCACCAAAGTCCTCTATCCTTCCCATTTCTCTGAGGGCATTGATAATATCAGCATGATCCATAGGCCGACCGTCGGTAGTGATAGCGGATCCAGCCAACCTGTCAGCTCTTTCATTTCCATCGACGCCTGCGTGTCCCGGAACAAAAATAAAGGTGACTCCTCGCACAGTGGACTTCTGAATTGATTCAAGCCATTGTCTTCGCACTGAACCTGCCTGAACCCTCCGGATCATACTCATTGAATCACTGAGTATACATATGCGGGTGTATTTTTGTGTTTCAAGCCAGGCAAACGCTTGCGTCACTGCCATCACCTCCATCGTCATGCTGCTGGTTGTCATGGAGAAGGCGCCGTTGGCTTCTTTGACTGTTCTGCCCGCTGAGCGTGCTGTAAATGCCCATGCGCTTCTTCTTTGGCGTATAACTGATCCGTCTGTATAGATTAGTGCATCTGCTTCGTCTGAATTTTCACCGATGAGAGCATTGACCTCTGCATTAACAGCAACAGGATTATCTTCTCTACATCGCCTTTTGAGTGTGACAATACAGGAAAATGTACAAATAAACGCCTGAGGCACAGGTATCCATTCTGCACCAGGTATGATGTCGGTTAGGCTGCATATTTGCCTAATAACATCTTCTGCCCGACCTAGCCACGATTTTCCCCTCTTCAGTCTGTCGCCCTTTTCACTAAAAAGCGCTTGATGCAGTGGGTGTTTCTTATCAGCACATATTTTGAGGTATGCCCGAGCCCTCCACATCCTGATCCTTTGGTTCATTGTTGGAAAGTCAAGTAGATACCTCATTGCTCCACAGGATGTGTCTCTTGTACATCCCAAAATAATACGCATGGCTTCATTTTTGCACCTTCTCGAGTCGTTCAATCTGGGTAGCACTGACAGTGAGGATGGCCAGAGCGTATTCAATGGGGGAAAGGACCAGACCATAGAATAGAAGCACCAGCAGTCTTTGCTCGATATTGGAAGCAGCCATAATCCTCATTGCAGATAGACCTTTGCGTGCTTTTGTTATCGCATGGTCAACGTGTTCCCTGAATGACAAGCTGCGATCGAACCTCACCCCGAGAAACGTCATAACGTTGGTTCTGATCAATACATTATCACGCATTTTCACTTCTGGTAAGTCCGACTTGACAATGTGATTGTTCAAAGAGAACCATGACACTGATGCCTTCGAGGGATTGACATAGGCATTGGAACCATCACACCAGGCGGCAATTCGATCGAGTTCTTTGTGCATTGTGCTGGCGATCTCCTGTCTATCACGCCCTCGTCGATAAATCAAATGTCATCAGCAAATGACAAAGTCCTTCCCTTTCCATTCAACTGCTGCTCAGTGATCATCACCGTATAAACATTGAATAAGACTGGTGATAGCGGTGATCCCTGTGGCAAGCCTGGACATATCGTTTGCGGTTCTGAGGACCAGCTACCACATCTTAGTACAATCTTTCTCTGGAACAGGACCGCAGCAATCCAGCGGATCAGAATAGGATTGACTTCTAGTTTAAGCAGTAATTGCATTAAATAATCATATGGTACTTTATTGTAGGCATCTTCTAAGTCCAACACTGCCGCACATGTCTCTTCTTTAATCTGAAATCCCTCGTACACATCGTAGGCGAAAACAGCAGCATTGGACCATGTCTCTTTCTTCAATCTGTACCCTCCAAGTGTTGATGGGAACTTATCATGTAGTTCCAAGTAGGTGGTCAATCTTTGTGCGACAATTTTTTCCAAAAGTTTGCCAACAGTATTCTGCATCGAGATGATTCTGTAGCCGCAGATCTTTGAGTGGTCTTTATTAGGCTTTGGTAGTGGAAACAAATAACTATGGAGCCATTCCTCTTGTATCTGGCCACTCTGGATGCTGATATTGAATTCCTTTGCCACGCTTTTCAAATCAGCATTCGACATCATCAGCATGTCATTGTATCGGATGCCGTCAGGACCTGGAGCAGTGCTCTGCGCGATTTCTTGAGGCAAGTTCTTAAGGTGTCTGCAGTGATTGTGAAATCAGTGCCTAGCTCAGTGTTCTCGCACAGCATCGACAGTTTCATCTTAACCCCTATTCTTGCAGCTTCGTCTTTTTGGTCAGGTTGCTCCAAGTAGCGCGCAAGGAGGGTTTTTCCTTTATCAGCATCAGTTCTCTGCCATATCAGGTCTGTACCCTGAAAATCAGGGATACCCCTTGGTCGTGCGGCGCCGTGCATGCTCCGTTGAAGGCGCCAGAATGTCACAAGAGATCCCTCGGAGCAAACGCTCTTGCAGAATTCGTTCCATTTCGCTGTCTTGGCTTCTTTCGCAATTAACTTGAAAGCCACTGTCCGCTTGTTGACCTCATCTTTCAGACTGATCAGGCGTTCAGAAAGTGACGGATCAATTTTCCTTGCCTTTTGCCATGCCTTGACAGCGTTCCTTTTTTCTAGCCACGCTATGTTGACTACTTCATTCCACCATGATGGCTGGGCCCATCTCTCCCGCCGTCTGCGATCTGCTCTTGTTTTACGTCGTCTGATTTTGCTAATGGCATCTTGCCCTGTACGGTCATATATAAAAGCAGGCACATTGATTACATGACCTTTGTTGTTGCTCTTCTCCACCAGGACGACGCAAGGAAAGTGATCACTGTCATGGTATCCCAGTGTGCTCCACCTGCATCCTGGTGCAATGGAGGGAGACACTAGGGCCAGGTCAATTACGCTGTCAGAATCCCCTTGTCGTGTTGCTATTCGGGTAACCTTTCCGTCGTTCAAGCATACTAGATCGGCAGACACTAGAGCATCCTCCAGGTCTTCCCCCTGTTTATTGGTGATTACATTGCCCCACTGGTTTCCTCTGGCGTTGAAATCTCCGCAGTAAAGGACTTTCTTTTCCTCAGTCTGGAGCAAACTCTGCCATTTCGCTGTATCCACCTTTCCATTGCAGGCGTACACATTGACAATCACAAACTGGGCCGGGCCCATCACTCTGACTGCGTGTACTTGTAGGTCGTCATTATCCCACTCAGTATGTGGTCACGAACAAGAATGAGCTGTCCGAGGTGCCGTCTATTGTAGAAGGATTGGAAGCCCGCAATTTTAACCATCTCTTCACCGAGGTGTGTTTCCTGTAGGACAACAATGTCGTTGCTGTAGAGGAGCTTCTCGAAAATGGGTCGGCGTTGACTGAACGAGGCGCAGTTCCAGTAGAGAACGCGAACATACTTTAAGCTGAGTCTCTCACATTTCAGTCGCTTCCTGCAGGCGCCACCGTGCTTGCCTGTTCGCGTTCTCCTTGTCCGTCTACGGGTTGTTTTGAATTGGTAGATAGTCGCCATCGGACGTTGAATACACCCTGAGGGAAGTCTGAACTCACGTGCATGTACTCCATTGCACGGTTCAGACCCCATTCCGATGAAACTTTCACATTATACGTGAGCGAAAATAGTTAATTTGCGCCATTCGCCTCAACGGACGAAAAAGCGTGCCGCCATTGTGGCTGTTTATACCCACAGTCTTTGCTCTGTCATACTCCAGTGTGCAACATACAACACAAACCATAGACACTGTTCTCCTTTTGTCACACCCCACTGTATAACATACAACACTTACACAATTATACTAAAATATAAATTCTAACTCAGAAAACTGTCTTCTGCAGGCATTCCTGGAGTTTCAGGATGAAGCCAGCGCTACAGCCATGGTGAGTTATTTCCAGACCAACCCAGCACAAGTGCGCCTGAAGCCTGTCTTTGTACAGTTCTCAAACCACAAGGAACTGAGGACTGATGCTTCCCACGCTGCACAGGTAGGGGCCACACTATCATTTCATACAGGTTTAACAGCCAAATCAACTTTTTCAGTGCCAAACAATGTGTAGTGTGTTCTCTTTCATCTTACACTTGGTCAACGCATCTTAAGGAAATCTGGCTTTTTATATAGTAACTTTCTGTGTGTATTTAGCTACTTTAAAAGTTGAGTATTCATTTGTTCATTGCAATCATTTTAACGTTAGATAGTTTAAGGAGTATTAAAAACAACAACAACAACAAACAGACAAGTGTGCACTGACACTGACTGGTACTTATACACAGAAGTAGAGAGATAGAAGAACACACTAGACAGTATAAAAATAGAAAGTTATAATTAGAATGCTGATAATCGATCTGGTCACCTCTACATGATGACAGTGCCTCGCTGTAGGAACAGGTTTACTTTGACACATGATCAGCTAGGCACCCCTTTTATTTCTGTCGTTCAAGAAGGCAACAAGAGTCTATAACACAGTCAGCATAAGTCTTAAAACTAACTGATGTGACAATGATGAGAATTGAGAACTAACAACACTGAATGACTAAACTGGTGAGCCTGAGATAAGAAATTAGCAGCTTTTCTTCTTTTTTTTCAGCATTCTCTATTAAAAAGAAGTCTGTTATTTTGTATTGGGGTTTACAGCCAGGCTGTGATATCTCTGCCTTTAAATCCAAAATATCTGATTTGAGCAAATAATTCATTTATAACATGTTTTTCTAAGGAGCAATAAATATATAACCCCCCTCCCCCTTCCCCGAATACATCCAGAACCCAGATTAGGAAATTATTAGTGGGATAACATTTTGACCTAATCTGAGAATAATGATGGTCGTCCTCAGGTAGCTGACCCCTTATCTCTGTTGGTCCCATAGATTTCGTAGACAAATCATTATTGCTTTAATTAAATAATGCTACAAAACTTCTAGCAGCTTGTTTTGTTGTAGGAATACAAAATGAATGAAGGAGACCCTACTGGATTGATTTAGTATAGATTGAGCAAACATGAAATATAAGAACACGCTTGATGTGCTGTGTAAGACTTGTGGGAAGTGGTCAGTGACATACCATGTGCTGTGTAAGACTTGTGGGAAGTGGTCAGTGACATACCATGTGCTGTGTAAGACTTGTGGGAAGTGGTCAGTGACATATCATGTGCTGTGTAAGACTTGTGGGAAGTGGTCAGTGACATATCATGTGCTGTGTGAGACTTGTGGGAAGTGGTCAGTGACATATCATGTGCTGTCTGGGATGGAAGCAGTTACAGAAGCTCGCTGTGATCTTAGCATGCTGTAAAGCCACACAGTCCTGTCAGTTTGCCACCCCAGTAACTATCTTTTCCAGGGTGTTCTTGGTATCCTGTGACCACCTGCCTACTCTTCCAGGAACTATAACATCTGTTACTCTTCTCTCCTAAAACCGATAACTGATTACACTGCAGTGACAGGATTACATGACTTCTTCCCTAATGGATGCCAGGATCCTACTTTTAGTGATGGGAAGGGGAGGAGTGGAGGGGTAGGGGAGGAAGACCCACTGCACTCCAAAGAGGCATGCAACAAAAGGCCGCCAATCAGGGGTCTGCTGAAATCTAATGCGTTGGGCAGAAAGGTGCAGATATCACAGCCTAGCTGTAAACCACAAGATGCCTATTCCTTTTTTAAGGGCAGTCACAGAAAAAGAAGAAAAGGCAGAAGGACTTTAGTGCTGATGTTTGATTGGTTTATCTGATAATGAGAAACAGGAAGACAGCAGTGACCTGATGAGATGACTTTCACCCTTTTACCCCAGCACACTGGGGAAAAAAAAGTCATGACTCCTTTAGAATTCCAGACAAAATCTTTTAAAACTTTTTTTTTATAAAGGTCACTAATAAATTCACAAAGAAATTTAATTATCATTAGTTTTAAATTTTTCAGAACATATAAAAATATGTGAAAGGGTTAGCGTCATTCCTCACACTTGACTATCCTAAATAGAGAAAACAGTGAGTTGATATTATCATGTTTCAGAATGCAAACGCCCAAGTGGCCCTTCAGGCGGCCCACGCTGTTATGGGATCTGACGAGCAGTCGACCATCTTAAGGATTATCGTGGATAATGCATTGTATCCTGTGTCCCTAGACATTTTATATCAGGTACTTATATGTGGTTTTCATCATCATCATCATCAGTTCTCGTTATGCCTAGTGGCACATGAGGCTTCAGAGAGGACTTATATGTGGTTTTACAACATGACTATTTTATGCAATAAATTCTTATCACTAGTAGTTGGAAAAAATAATTCTCGATGCTACATAAAATCAGGTTTAGCTTATGGCTGGTAACCTTATTCCTGCTGTGAATGCATGTGGCTCCCTTGTAGGCTACTGACAGATAGTCTGTCACTAAAACACACTAAGGCAAACACATCAATCTTTAATATACAGAACAATAAACAGCAGGCAGTTAGCCTCGAGAGCTGTGAGCACCCACTATTCTAAACAAGGCCATGAGGGTATTACAATCACCACTCACTCCTGGGCCATCCCGTTCTACAGATAATACCTGGGCCTGAAGCCAACTGCTTCTGATATGGGCTCTTTCCTGTGCTACTGGACTCCAAATTGGGACTGTGGCACATCTGCAGAGTGTGGGCCAATGTGTGTGGACATATCTAATTGCCAATTACTACAATAACCTTGCTAACAGAATACCTAAGAAGCTACCCAAATGAATCACTGCACCACATTCTATCTCTGTCGAACGCTGTACAACACTGTAATAATACTACTGTCTAGCTAAACACATTATTACACAGACTATTGGTCACTACGCTTAAATCGAACACACTACGACCTAATGTTCACAAACTTATATAAGTCAACAGCCTCAATGTCCAGCCACAGAACGCCTTGTTCATTTTCCCACTGGTTGCTTTGTCCACCGTTACAGTTTAGTCACCAGTCCATGAACCTCATGGCTTCGTTAGCGGTCAACTCATTCTGTCACCAGCTCTTTCTGCTGGTTGTCGGTTTGTGTCGCTGAGCTACAAGTCATGTCGCGGTCAACTCATTCTGTCACAGCTCTTTCTGCTGGTTGTCGGTTTGTGTCGCTGAGCTACAAGTCATGTCACAGTCAACTCATTCTGTCACAGCTCTTTCTGCTGGTTGTCGGTTTGTGTCGCTGAGCTACAAGTCATGTCACAGTCAACTCATTCTGTCACAGCTCTTTCTGCTAGTTGTCGGTTTGTGTCGCTGAGCTACAAGTCATGTCGCGGTCAACTAAGCACATAGTGAACATTTACTATCATCATACGTTGTATCCCATACCCACACTGTACTCTGACATAAATTGTATATAAAATGGCATCTGTTCTGCCTCACTTGGACAGTTGTAATGTCAGTAAAACTGAAATCTTTACAAACAATATCTTCTTGTTAGAAGTTTTGTTTGTTTGTTTGAAGAAAATTTGTGATAATTCTTTGTAAATTAATGACTAATTTAAAATGTAATATTTTGCTTTTCTTTTCCCCAGTTATTTACAAAATTTGGAAAAGTGTTGAAAATTATTACCTTCACAAAAAATAGTAAGTAGAAATCTTGTGTGTTTGTGTTTAAAAAAGGTTAAGGTCAGTTTCCATAGCCTTGAGCCAAATTGGCAACATCGATCACTAGTACCAGGTTTGTGATTAGCATCATATGCCAGGCAGCTGTTGTGGTGTAGTGGCAGGACATTTACTTGCTAACTTGAAGGTTTTTTGGCTGAATCCGCACTGAAGCAGACATGTTTTTTCTTCAGAATTGACCTTGGCTCCATGGTCGACCCGCCTAAAATGGGTACCAGCTAATCTCTTCGGAAATTATGGTTGCAGACGTGATGTTGAAACCAAACACTAACTGAGCACTGTATGGTCTATAAAAATATGAATCTAGTTTGTACCTTATGCCTTATGTGCCACAGTCATTATAAGGGTCCGTTACTGTTTTTAACTTTACCAAATTTGCATAAAACCTCAAGGTATTCATATGGGTCCCTTTTTTTTCTTAATGTGCATTGCCGCTGTGTTATTTTATGCAACTACATTTCAATACATTAGTTATTTTCTTTCCTCACGCACAAGTCTGCACACAAATGAACTGAATCTGTAAAACTGATGTGCACAGAAAACTCAAGTTCTGGAAAAGGACCAAAATCCAGAAGTGGATGAACAACCAGAACTTTCTGCCAGAGTTTAGCTGGTGAATATGAAGAAGAAGAAAATTTTCCCACACAGAAAAAAAACTGGATCCTGATAGATTCCAAATGTCATGTGACTTTCTTGTAAGTTTATTACTACATTTGTTAAAAATAGCCATTGTTTCTACAGACACATTCCAAGCTTTAATCCAGATGTCGGATGCCATCTCAGCCGCTGCAGCAAAAACAGTGAGTACTCGATGACAATTCTGCCATGCTATTTTCATTTCTACATAAAAAATGGAAAAACACATTATTTTGTTTTAATGAACAACAAACTAACATGCTTTAAGACAAAAACATGGATAAATAAATAAGCATTATTAATTTATTTATGGGTATTGATTTAAAAGAAAACAGACAGAACTGAGAAAATATTAGAGAAATCATAAATGAAAGAAAATAATAGTCACAACATGGATTTAAATGTAAAGGACACACACCTGCTTACCACTGTCTAATATGGCTTCTGATCCATGAAGGTTGCCTTGTAACATAAAAACAGCTGGCACAATCATAACAGGCATGTTGTGAAAGGAAACTAATTCAGGATTGGCTGAAATCATCAGTGTTGCCATTCATGCGTGGTTTTCCTTTGAAGTCAGAGTGCATTTGCCCGAGGGACATGGAACCAGCAGTCTGCATACAAATAAGCTGGACTGTAAAATGGATTTGCACACAAAAGTCCAGAAGTGGATGAACAAGCAGAACTGACTTTTAGAGTTTACAGTAGGTGAACGCTAAAAAGATATGTGTTGCAAAGATATCACAGTCCAGCTGTAAACCACAACATACAATACCAACTGCCTTTTTAAGAGTAAATACAGAAAGAGAAAAAGAACACTATAAGGAAGTTAAAGAACAAACAAGATGAAGAAGGCCACTGCTGTCCGGACTTCTTATTTTAATTTCCTCAAAGTTTCTGAATCACTGGTCGTGTGTGCCAGACTAAATATTAGAGACTGCTTCCCAAAACAGATACCAGGTAGCATTCATGTCATTTTAAGCCCCAGGCCCTACACTGTAAAAGAAAAGTAAAGGGCATATAGGGCACATAGGGCTAGACCTATATTTTTAAAGACCAATCGGCTCAAGATGGGTGATGTGGTCAGCATAATGCCGGCCGCCTTTACTTTCCCGGAGCCCTACACTGGTTCAAGTTCATATTCAACGATGTGTGAGGCAAACAGTCTGACACCTTGAACCATCTACATCTATTGTAATTTTACATTGCTCAAATTTTTTATGTCCACATATCTGGCACATATTATAACAGATTTAATTGTGTAACCATGTTTTATTGTCACCGTGCAGTGCTGTACTAGAAAAAAAAATTTTTCCTGTATTATAGAATAATAATTTCACAGCAGTGAGATGTGTAAACAATAAGAATAGGTAAAAAATCATTAAATAAATACAGCAAGAACTTAAACAAGCATGAACAAGAAGAGGAGTAGAAAAACAAGAACTGCAATAAGATGCAGGAGAAGCTGGATGAAGAGAGGGGGGGGGGAAGGGGAGAACAAGCTAAAGATTAGTGCCCAAGACACTGGCTACATAACTTAGGGCTAAATTTGTCATTCTTGTTGTCTTAATTCTTTAGAGTAGTCTGCTCTTGACAGAAGGTGTTATGTTGATGTTGAATGTTTGAATATTTTTGATTGAAGAGTTTCAGAATCTGTGTCATATTTTTGAGTGAAGAGTTTCAGAATCTGTGTTATGTTTTCAGTCTCTGGATGGCCAGAACATCTACAATGGCTGCAACACCTTGAAGATAGACTACTCAAAACTGAGCAACCTCAGCGTCAAATATAACAACGACAAAAGTCGGGATTTTACTCGTCCCGACCTGCCTACCAATGACCTTAATCTTGATGCAATGAACCTTGGAGGTAAAAACTTTAATTGAAACTTCATTGCCTCTTGTAGTCTTGTTTACTGCATTGCTAAAATAAATTACAGGCTTAGAAACATGCACATCTAGGTTTAACATTGATTATTCTGTAAAAGTGCAAATGTCTGTGCACTTGGTGTTATGTAAGACAAGCTTATATGGCCAGCACCTCACCTGATTATCATTATACAGTTAAATAAAAAATTATTTAAATCTGATTAGAGTGACTTCAATCTGGCTCAGTGTCTGAACAGTGTAGACTGACTAGCTGGTTCTGCACCACTTGGCTGACAACTGATGCATGACAAGCTAGATGTTCAAATAGATCATTGCCTAAAAAAAAATGGTGCAGCAGGGAGGGACCAGGAAATCTGGCCAATACTCAGTGGCCATGCAACCACAGACATGTAGACAGACTGCTGCTGGAACAATGGGAATGGGAACACTGGCTGTTGAAAATGGGGTGGAATATTTATGAATATGTTCTGAGTACAATGATGTTCAGTTCTGAACTGAATTTCACCCATTTCGCTATCTTTCCGAACACAGGAAAATGAGTTTAAATCTCAGATTGGTCGATAGTTTCTTTCACTTTTCATTTTTGCGTTTGTATCTATTTATCATTTTACTGGTTCAAGTCTAAATGAAATATAATCCTTCATTACTCTGGAAAGGAGTAAATAAAAAAACAAATTAAAAAATAATAAAATAAATAAATCATTATAGATTTTTCTGAAACTTAATATATTTCTCAAGACTGCACTTTTGGTCTTGTGTTAGTATTATCTGATTTAGAAAGCATATTTTTCTGCATTTTTTGAAGACTTATAACATTTTGTAACAAAAAAGAATGAGAATTTAAAGCTACTGAAAGTAAATTTTCATTGATTAACTTGCTAATATTTGACATTTCTTTTTTATTGAGCATCTCCTTGTAGTTGTTATTAATTTCTGACAGCTTCATTGTGCATGTTGTATTTCATGTAGCCAGATTTTATGTATACTGCAGCCTGCCTCATTGCCTAAATTTAGTCATCCAGTCCTCATTTTTTCCATTTAAAAAGTGTATATAATTGTGTTGTTTTATTTGTTTAGTCATTTGCTCAAATGTCTAATACCCCTTGGCAGTTCTTCATTGGAAAATTATTATTTATGGATACTATTTATTTACATCTATTTCCCTTTACCATTTATTTTTGTAAATCGGAAATGTTCTCTGTAATATTTATTTTACATGTATCATTTATTTTATGTGTATCATTTGTGTGTGTGTAGTGTTTACTTTTTGGGTACTATTTATTTTACATGTATCATTTATTTTATGTGTATCATTTTTGTGTGTGTAGTGTTTACTTTTTGGGTACTATTTATTTTTATCTACTAGTTATTTATGTCTACTGTTTATCTTCGTAAAACATTTATTTCTGTTTAGCATTAATTTCTAGTTGTCAGTTTCAGGGCCTATGCTCTATTGGGAATAAAAAGGTATAAAGTGAAGAAAAAAAAAAAGAACAAGGAGAAGAAATGCACTGACTACTGAAAAAAAAAAAAAACTGCCAAATATACCAGTGAGTGAAAAAATACAAGAAGTGAACTGATAGTTAAAACAATTTACAGAAACTATATATTTGTAACTGTTTCATTGACCCTGACTTTGTCATTGACTGTGTTGTCGGAAAGGTCATCATGGGGTTCTGATGTCCTCACTCCCCTACCCAGGACTTATATCACCTCAGATGACCACAGTGGGAGCTTTATCTCCACACCAGCAAGCAGGTAAAATATCCATCCTTTATAACTGTTGTAATTATATGATATATACATTTATAATTTTCTCCTATAGCTTTTATTTTCATTTCTTTGCACATCAAGGCTTTATTTCAGTGTGGATATATTTGTTTTGTTTCTTTATTATATTTATTTGTATTTTTTTAAAAAGAAAATTTGGTTAAATCTTTCGCAAATGTTGGATTTAAAATATATTAATATGCCTTTTCTTTCTTTATTTGCAAGTCTAGTAATAGTTTACTAGTTTAAGTTTTTTTGGTTTTGTTTTGGGCACTGGGTCCTCAATGGTCAGTTTTGCATCATAATGATCCTGGAGCCTTAGATGGAATGCCAAGCCAACAGGAACTGTCTGATTTTATTTGTTTGTTGCTAGTACATTTCGGTTTGCAGTTTAGTAGTTTAGTTACTGACCCTGATTTTTTCTAATGTGATGTGCGGATCATAGCCAAGCCAAATGGTTGAGAAGCAACACGCAAGATCTATTTGTGCTATTAACTATTCTAACATAACTATTCTCCTTAAAGTTTAAAGTAGATCAGCAGCCTTTGCTGTGTTGAAACTTACTAAATTAAAGCTTATTTTATCAGTGCTGGTAACTATTGTATTATCTTGCTGTTATGCTTACTATTACTGTAATTATTAACAAATAGTTACATTTGTACTCTCAGCATGCATTAGAAACATTTAACATTGACCACAAGTAGAACTTGCAATGAATTGTGCACCAAGTTATGCCCCTTACTAACACTAACATTCACAAGGCAGATAACTCTCATCTTTTGGTAACTCTTTCAGTCCCAAACTAGCATTTTGTCACTAGCTTCAGTCTGAACTATTGACTGCCTTAAAATAAAAATGGTCTGAGTGAGAAATATTTCAGATAGATTCACTATGGAACGAAAGAAGTTGAAGTAGCAACTGGGAAATAATGGGTTAATACTGACGCTTGCAAATGGCATGAGAGGTGGATAGAGCATCTCATCTAAGGGATCCCTAATAAACACACAGTGAGCACTTTTTATCATCCCAACCATGTCTGGACTTTTTTTTTTACTTTGTAAGCTAGTAGTAGTAGTACATTTTACCCCACTAGGACATCGCACAAAGTGCCACCTTGTAGATGAGGATCAACCGTGGAGAGGTCCCAGATACCGCGTTCAGCCATTAGACCATATTTATGGCGGGGCTATATTGCAGCCCCTGGCAAGAGCCAGGGTGGGGCTTCAAAATAATGAATAATTGCATCCTACAAGGGGATGACTAGTTATATTTTGTAACCATCGGGAGGGGGTTCTATATAACCTTGTGCTTGAACAGGGTTTCTAGGATTTGTAACTGTGGAATTCTCATCTAAAAAGTGACACTTTGTGTCACTGGGTATTAATAACTCAGCGTGTGACCCTAGTGGATCACCTAGATGGAGTTCTCATCTCAGTTTGTTGTGGTAAAGCTTTTGGTAGTGGCCAGGAGTGGACAAACAGATCGATCAAGTGATAACTTAGAGAGCATTCCCAGTCTAGATCAGGTTACTGCATAGCCTTTGGGGACCCAGTATCATTATGTTATATGGTTTGAATTGTTTTAAGGATCTGTATCTGTGTGATTCTCATCCCTAAGGTGCTAATCCTGCATACTGCTTTCCTGGAGGGGACCAGCTACCTACCTGCTTCCGTTTAAAGAGTTGTTTGGAACTGAAAGAGCTAACAGTTAACTCCCATCTTTTCTTAAAGGGTTGATTTCATAATAACTTCATATATTTCCAGCTTCAATGATTCTCAAAGTAGAAATATTGGTACTTTTAGTTTAGCTCACCCCAAATACGGGGAACCACAGAATCCCCAGAAAAGTCCAAAACTATAGGGGTATTAGGGTTAGTGTTAATAGGTGTTCATGTCAAACCTATATTATTGGATTTCCCGGGTATTCTGGGGTTTCCTGTATTTAGGGTGAGCTAAAACAAAAGCACCAAAATATTTATGTTGTTATCTGTCAGCTTACCAAAAGATGTAGAGAAACTAGTGTCACATTTTAGATTTTATTTTACTTTTATTTTGCATGTGACACAAAAAGGGATATGCCGTCAAAAGACAGCGATATCTTAAACTTCTCTTTTCAGTGGACTTGCCAGACGTGAGAGAGGAGCCCACAATAATCTGGACCCATGGTTTAGGTGAAACACTTAACTTACTTACAAAGTTCAAAGGGTGTGCTGCCAGATTGGTCTTCAGTTATTTCCTAATATATTCTGATCCACTTGACATGGCTGAAAAAAAACCCAAAATGTTCCAGATCCCAATTAAAGTGCTGTAGGAAGATCATACATTACAAGGGTAAAACTCAGTAAATTTTTAGTTTATGTTCCGATCCACTATTTCTACAGGTGACGTTTTGTAATCTTTGCAGTGGTTTGTGAAAGAGTTTTCAGTTATAGACAGAGATCTTCAAATTACTACTACCAATCGTAATCTGAAATGGACTACTAAATAATATGCTAAAAAAAAAAAAAGATTTTTTGAGCATGTAAACTAAGGAGACACTACAAAAATGCAATGTGACATAACACAAGCTACGCAGCGATCCAAAGACAGCAGACTACACCTAACTCGTTTATGCAACACTTTACAACAAAAGCAGAAGGACACACACAAAAAAGAACTAAAAATCTACAGTAATTACGTATCAATATAAATTATTTATTTATTCATCCTGTTTTGATATGCTGGAAATTCAACAAAACTATAACAGCATTCAAGTACAGTGAGCAAATCTCAAAAAATGAAAAGTAGAAGTAGAAATGGTCCATTTCACGAAACCTAATTACAAATGATGTAAATAAAGTTGAGTCTGGGCAGCCTAAATCAGCATCCAAAAAAAAACAATAATGCTCGCTCAGAAAACTTTATCATTTATGCAGACGGTTCAGTGTCAAGAGGCAAAAGAAGTGATTGGGGCTTCTTAGCAACAGTTAATGGTCGAGATTTTGTGGAGGAGAGCCTAGCATATGATACCACAACATCCAGCTTAAGAATGGAGGCGGAGGCGGTCACTGCAGCTTTCCACTGGTTAGAGAACACAACACACACACACATCGTGATTGTAACTGATTCAGAAAGCATGCTGAGGAAGATCACGACAGGCATGCTTTGTGCAGAGTGGCATGCTTCGCTGCGGAGGACACTGGTGAGAAGTATTGTCTGAATAATAACCGGTGTGTTAGTAAACAAACAGGCGGACAGACTGGCTGGCTCTGCACAACTTGGTGGAATACTGATCCATGATAAGGCAGACATGGTTAGTGCCTTGTGGGAAAGCGTGTACAGTTCGAAGGAGCAGATGGATCACTACAGTCTGGTGAGACTGATGCAGGGAGGAGTGACGAGAGGTTCTGGCAGATGCTCGAGGCTCAGAGGAAAGGCTAGACGGACGTTTAATTAGAATGCTACTGGCACCATTAGTATCCCAGCTCTTCGCTGGCTGCTAAAGATGGGGAGGGAGCGCTTATGGGAATGCCCTGAGTGCTGTGATGATGGTTCTTGAATCAAATCAAATCAACCAAAAAACAAACTAGATACAGCAGCATGAAAGATAACAGAAGGTCCCATAGCTTTGTAGAACTTACATCCAGGAATTGTTAAATTATCCTAGTTTTTTGAGTACACTCTAGTTAACCTAGTTTTGTGAGTACACTCTAGTTATCCTAGTTTTGTGAGTACACTCTAGTTATCCTAGTTTTGTGAGTACACTCTAGTTATCCTAGTTTTGTGAGTACACTCTAGTTATCCTAGTTTTGCGAGTACACTCTAGTTATCCTAGTTTTGTGAGTACACTCTAGTTATCCTAGTTTTGTGAGTACACTCTAGTTATCCTAGTTTTGTGAGTACACTCTAGTTAACCTAGTTTTATGAATACACTCTAGTTAACCTAGTTTTGTGAGTACACTCTAGTTATCCTTGTTTTGTGAGTACATTCTAGTTATCCTAGTTTTATTAATACACTCTAATTATTCTAGTTTTATGAGTACACTCTAGTTATCCTAGTTTTATGAATACACTCTAGTTAACCTAGTTTTGTGAGTACACTCTAGTTATCCTTGTTTTGTGAGTACACTCTAGTTTTCCTAGTTTTATTAATACACTCTAATTATTCTAGTTTTGCGAGTACACTCTAGTTAACCTAGTTTTATGAGTACACTCTAGTTATCCTAGTTTTGTGAGTACACTCTAGTTATCCTAGTTTTGTGAGTAGACTCTAGTTATCCTAGTTTTGTGAGTACACTCTAGTTATCCTAGTTTTATGAATACACTCTAGTTAACCTAGTTTTGTGAGTACACTCTAGTTATCCTAGTTTTGCGAGTACACTCTAGTTAACCTAGTTTTGTGAGTAAACTCTAGTTATCCTAGTTTTGTGAGTAGACTCTAGGTTATCCTAGTTTTGTGAGTACACTCTAGTTATCCTAGTTTTATGAATACACTCTAGTTAACCTAGTTTTGTGAATACACTCTAGTTAACCTAGTTTTATGAGTACTCTAGTTATCCTAGTTTTGCGAGTACACTCTAGTTAACCTAGTTTTATGAATACACTCTAGTTAGCCTAGTTTTGTGAGTACACTCTAGTTAGCCTAGTTTTGTGAGAACACTCTAGTTATCCTAGTTTTGTGAGTACACTCTAGTTATCCTAGTTTTGTGAGTACACTCTAGTTATCCTAGTTTTATGAATGCACTCTAGTTATCCTAGTTTTGCGATTACACTCTAGTTAACCTAGTTTTATGAGTACACTCTAGTTATCCTAGTTTTGTGAGTACACTCTAGTTATCCTAGTTTTATGAGTACACTCTAGTTATTCTAGTTTCATGAGTACACTCTAGTTATCCTAGTTTTATTTATGAATACACTCTAGTTAACCTAGTTTTGTGAGTACACTCTAGTTATCCTTGTTTTGTGAGTACACTCTAGTTATCCTAGTTTTATTAATACACTCTAATTATT